AGAATAGAATAGAATAGAATAGAATAGAATAGAATAGAATAGAATAGAATAGAATAGAATAATAATGGAATGAAAAATGAATAGAGTAGAGTAGAAGAGAAGAGAAGAGAAGAAAAAAGAAAAGAAAAGAAAAGAAAAGAAAAGAAAAAGAAGAGAGAAATGAATGGAAGGGAAGGGAAGGGAAGGGAAGGGAAGGGAAGGGAAGGGAAGGGAAGGAAGAGAAGAGAAGAGAAGAGAAGAGAAGAGAAGAGAAGAGAAGAGAAGAGAAGAGAAGAGAAGAGAGAAATGAAGAATCGAATGGAACGGAATGGAACAGAATAAAATAGAATTTGTCTCCGGGGCAGAAGATCATAGTGTACATATATACAGCAAGCAATAGGTGATAGCTCATAAATCATAGTTACAATTATTAATCATAAGTTACAAACAACAATTGATAAATCATAAGAAACCAATAGGAAAAAGATTGTTGTTGTTTTTTTTAAAAAAAACCCCGAATAGCACAACTGCACAAGAGATTGATGGCACATCCACCAAAAGGCATCAGGCCATCTCAAGAGGTACACAAGGGGTTTTTAACACAATCGAGAGAGGTAGCTGCAATCTTGACTCGCATTGTAATTTGCATCCGTGTAGTCAACCTGGGTTCCCCTCCCTTCCTCTCCTCTTCCCCAGCCTCATCCTAAATTAAATCTTACATCAGTTAATCTTGGCATTACATTTGACTTACACAACGTCCTCCTACAAGGTGGAGCACTGAGGTGTATTCTCAGTCGTGTAGTATGTTACTGGGTGGATACCTCTTGCTTAGAAGGCCTGGGAGAAGAAGGAAGCACTAGTTTTGCAACTGTTTGGAAAGAAGGAGTTATCCCAAGGTAGGAGTTGGGGCATCCTAAGGGAGAATTACCTGTGAACTACTATACAATACAGGTACAGTACAACAATCTGCTTAGTGACCATTCAAAGTTACAACAGCACTGGAAAAAAAGGGACTTATGGCCATTTTTCACACTTACGACCGTTGCAGCCTCCGCAATGGTCACGTCGTCAAAATTCAAAGGTTTTCCAACTGGCATGTACTTATGACGGTTGGAGAATCCCGCGGTCACACAATCCCTTCTTGAGACCTTCTCTGACAAGCAAAGTCCATGGGGGGGGGTGTCACTTAACAACCGTCTTCCTAATTTAACAACTGCAAGGGATTCACTTAGCAACGGTGGCAGGAAAAGTCGCAAAGCGGGGCAAAACAAATTCAAAATAAAATAAAATAAAATAAAAACTCGCCGAACGACGTTCCCCCTTAGCCACAGGAATGTTGGGCTGGATAGTGGCCGTAAGTCGAAGACTTTAGTAGAGTATGACTGATTTTTTTTTTACCTCTCTGTGTTGTTGTTGTTTTTTTCCATTCTGAAAGGAATGCATGCTTGGAGCAGTTGAATTTAAGCAGAATAATAGCCCTGTCTATTTTCTTTTCTTTTTTAAAAAAAAAAAACAAAAGGTCCCTTCCTGATCAGAAGCCACCTGACAGCACCTTCTATGAATCTTGTAGGAGAAAAGCAAGGAGAAAATTCAACCGGCATCCTGAGCTTGCAAAAAAAAGAAAGAAAAACAAAACAGAGGGAACTCGCCCGGTTGAGTTTATCAGCATGTGAAAATGGAGTCAAAGTGATTATCCAGCCTATTTAGCTAATAAGGATAGATCTAAAATTGGGGTTTCCATAATACAGCTCCCTCCTCCGGCTTCGCTTCCAGCTATATAACCTCTACGTTCGGTTAATGAGTAGGCCTCGGTGGTTACAGTGCAAGTATTTAAGGTCCCGGAGAAGAAGTTACGTGCCAGCGATGACAAATTGCTCCTTGAAAAGATCAGGTGACAAGTTTCATAGTCTGCATTCTTCCTGCGGACAAATACCAAATTCTCTACAAACACACACACACACACACACTGCAATCTGGGCCTACAACAATTTGCTGTGGTCAATTCACCACAACAAACATGCTGCAGCCAACTCATTGGGTGGGGACAAGAGTTACATTAATATTAAAGAAATGGTGAATTAAAATAAAGAAAGGACGGAAAAGGAGGGCCAGAATGAAATGTGATTTTTAATATTAATTTTAAGAAGAGAAGAGAAGAGAAGAGAAGAGAAGAGAAGAGAAGAGAAGAGAAGAGAAGAGAAGAGAAGAGACAAAGAAGAGAGGAGAAGAAACAGAGAGGAGAGGAGATGAGAAAGGACATCGAAACGTCTTATCACCAGCTGTTCCAAGCATGATGAGAGACATCAAGGAATTGACTTGCAACTGGAACTGAACCAATGATAAAACCAGGGGAGGAATCATCGAAGCTGGCCCTTAATTGGAGTAACATGATCCATATACTCATTTAGTGACCATTCAAACAGCACTGAAAAAATTGATTTATAACCCCTTTTCACACTTTTTCCATACAGTAGAATAGAGTAGAGTAGAGTAGAGTAAAGTAGAGTAGGGTAGAGTAGGGTAGAGTAGGATAGGGTAGGAGGGAAGGGAAGGGAAGGGAAGGGAAGGGAAGGGAAGGGAAGGGAAGGGAAGGGAAGGGAAGAGAAGAGAAGAGAAGAGAAGAGAAGAGAAGAGAAGAGAAGAGAAGAGAAGAGAAGAGAAGAGAAGAGAAGAATGGGACGGGACGGGACGGGACGGGACGGAAAGGAAAGGAAAGGAAAGGAAAGGAAAGGAAAGGAAAGGAAAGGAAAGGAAAGGAAAGGAAAGGAAAGGAAAGGAAAGGAAAGGAAAAAAGGAATGGAATGGAATTCTTTATTGGCCAAGTGTGATGGGACACACAAGGAATTTGTCTCCGGTGCATAAGCTCTCAGTGTGCATATAAGCAGCAAAGTGATAGGTCATAAACCCTAGTTACCATCATTAATCATAAGTTACAAACCACAATTGATAAATCACAAGAAACGAATAGGAGAAGGTTAGAGGATGAGACAACGACGTGCGAAGAGTTAAGCGTTCATCAGAGGGATGCCACGGAGGGGGAGGAACTACCTTTATATCTGGTCGTTTCTGACATGCAAATAGATGTTCATTCAAAAGAGACCAAAGGTATTTTAACAGCCCCAGTCGCTTCAAAGAAAAGAAAAATAACAACAGCGGTTCCCAAGAATCTGCCTCCTCGTGTAACATTTCTCCCTTCGACCATTACAAAAGGGGTAGCTTCTACCTCCTCCGGGCAGCTTACTTTAACATTACTCCCAGCGATGTTAAATGTAATCTGCGAGAATGAGAGGAATTTCAGGTTTGTCCTGGCAACCTCCATCTGGCTGATGGGTGACGCAACAACTCAACAAAGCAAATCCTCGTTGCAAAACACACACACCCCGTAAATCAGACCGATAAGGAATCTTAAGAGCCCCAGTAAAAATAACTAAGATCTTCGGGATACTTGGTAAATCTTTTAAGTGGCTACAGGACTTCTTGCCCTTTTATCCGCCACAAATTAAGGTTGCTGCTACCCCTGTGGGCCACAGTAGATCTCCTAACCTGGAGAAGAAGAAAAAAAAAGGAGACAAGATCTCTATTGATCTTCAGTAATCAGCCCGAGGAAATTTTTTCCCAGGGCTGAAAAACGTGGAATAAAAAAATGACCTGGGCCGGTATTAGAGAAAGAGTTTAGATCACAGTTCAACTTTCCTCGCCCATCCTCCCCAAAATGCAACCTCTCTTTTCGTGCGCATCCAAAAGAGGTTTCCGGAGACCGAATTCAAATCCAGATTTATTGGGACCGTCAAAGATCAATCACATTACAAGAGGGATCACCGCCGAAAGCTGCAAGTTGCAACCCCTTGCAATTGGCGGCAGCAAAATTTTCAAGAGTCAACGGATGATGGATTAAGACGCTAAAGCAATTGGCATTTCCAGACTGCCGTGGTTTCTATTCAGGGCTGACCATGGTTAGCTTCCACCGGGGTCACGATAAACCCTGATAAAACCACAACTCTTTGCAGAGGGGCCATTAGAGGAAGCAAACTGTGGCTTCATCCCATTCGCAGTTTAATTTCTATCTGTCTATGTTTCCCCCCCACCCCAAATTTGATTCCCCCCACGTCTTAGCATTTGCTATGGGGGAGAGCTGCCAAAAACTTGTACCGGTAGTCCCTGACTTACGACAGTCCGTTTAGTGACCGTTCGAAGATACGACAGCACTGAATAAAGTGACTTATGGCCGTTTTTCACACTTACGGCCAAGGTAGCGACCCCACACTCCCACGGTCAGAATTCAGATGGGATTCTTACTTATGACGGCTGCAGTGTCCTGGGGTCACCCTTTACGCCGAGCAAAGCCCCATGGTCACGTGATCAAAATTCAGACGCTTGGCAAATGACTCACATTTATGACGGTGGCCATGTCCCAAGGTCACTGACCAGCGAAGTCAATGGGGGAGGGGAGAGGGATTCGTTTAACAACCGGGTTACTAGCTTATCCACTGCAGTGATTCGCTTAACAACGGTGGCCAGAAAGGTCGTAAAACGGGGCAAAACCCACTTAACAAATATCTCACTTAACGACAGAAATGTTGGGCTCGAGAGTGGTCGTAAGTCGAGGACTACCTGCTTAACGAATCAGATTCTGCCAGGATCCATGCACCAGATCTACTAAATTCTATTGTCCATGTCACATCTTCCACCCCTGATTCTACCCTCCAAACTAGATTCATATTTATTTATTTCTGAGAGATGATTTTTAAATCAACCTCTGTAAAGTTTCCGGGTAGCACCTCCTAACCCAAGTTGACATACATAAGACGTTGGGTTTCCATCTATTATTGCCACTGAAGCAGGCTTTCTTTGGGTGAATTCCTTCTCCTGGCCCATAATTTCATACCTGCAGACTCCAAAACACCACCCAAGAAAGAGAATCCAAGAACTCTGAACCTGGAGAACATCTCAGATCAAAGATCAAAGCAGAGAAAAGACCATCACCAAGAAGAACTCTAAACTTCCCTCGGTTTTTTCCTTACCTCAAATATGTTGGACGTCTCAGTAGGATACTGATGGGAGATGATTTCGGATTGGTCGTTGTACCACTTAAGCCCACCAAGGAACCCGTTGTCATCCAGATCATTCACGTCTAATTCGGAGAGATCAAGTTCTGGAAGATCTGGACAGAGAGGTTGGTCTTCCCCGACTAAAGCAGCGCACTGTGAAGAAGCAGAAAGAAGAGATAGCAATATACCGCTTTATAGTGCTTTAACAGCCCTCCCTAAGCAGTTGACAGAGTCAACCTCTTGCCCCCAACAATTTGGGTCCCCATTTTAGCCACCTCGGAAGGACGGAAGGCTGAGTCAACCTTGAACCTGGGGAGATTCGAACTGCCAAACTGCTGGCAATCGATGATCAGCAGAAGTAGCCTGCAGTACTACACTCTAACCACTGCGCCACCATGGCTCATAAATAGAAGATAAAACCAAGAAGAAGGACAGAACTTCTTCTAGATAACTGCATCTCTGCTAATTCCCCTTCCCTCCCTTGATAAATCAAGCAGAGTTGGCTATACAGCAGAGGTGAAATCCAGCAGGTTTTAACAGGTTCTGGCGAACCAGCAGTGGAAATTTTGAGTAATTTGGAGAACCGGCAAATACCACCTCGGGCTGGCCCCAGAGTGGGGTGGGAATCAGTGGTGGGTTGCCCCTGGTTTGCACCGGTTCTATACAACCGGTAGTAAAACCGGCGGGAGGCTCCGCCCACCGCCCCTGACATCATCAAAACGCTTCTGCACATGCGCAGAAGAGCACGCGCGCGTATGAGCAAAGCAAGCGCACGCACGTGGCCCTGCTGCGAACCTGTAGTAAATGTAAGTAAAACCCACCCCTGGTGGGAATGGAGAATTTGCAACATCCTTCCCCTGCCACACCCACCAAGCCATGCCCACAGAACCGGTAGGGAAAAATTTTGAATTTCACCCCTGCTATACAGGTAAGTCCTTGAGTTCAGTTAGTGACCGTTTCAAGTCACAATGGCACCGAAAAAACGGACCAATGAGCATTTTTCACACATACAACTGTTGCCATATCCATAGTCATGTGATCAAAAATCGGGCGCTTAAAACCACATTGACTTAAAGCCAGAAATATTCTTGTTGGGGAATTTTACCCCAAAAATATAATAAGGGGAATGCATCTTTAATTATTCATAAATTAACTGCAGCTAGAATTATATTTGCCCAAAGTTGGAAAAATGAAGAGATTCCCACAGATGAAAAGGTGATTTAGGAAAATATTAAGAATGTGCAGAAATGAATAGACTAACACTAGCAATCAAGGAAAAAGAACAAATTGAATATTACATGACATGGGACTTATTTTATCAATGGTTAGACAATTTTTTTAAAAAAAGGAAGTTAGAAGCAGGGAAACAAAAGACCATTTTAACCTAGATTAGTGAAATAAAGAAGATACGTTAAGAGAGAGAAGCAAATATTATGATTATTATGTTTAATGTCATCATTTTAATACTATAGAATTAATGTTAAACTAACGAATATTATTGTAAATTTTGATTATTACTGTATAAAGATACCCGGATGACACACTCTTTAATTGAAGATGGAATTATTATATTGAAAAATAAAAAATGTAATAAAAAAAAAAAACAGGTGCTTAGCAACTGACTCCTATTTATGATCCCTTTTGTGACCTTCTGACAATCAAAGTCAACGGGAAGACAGCTTCAATTAACAACCAAGTTGCTACCTTATCAATGGCAGACATTCACTTAACAACTGTGGCAAGGAAATGTCGTAAAATGGGGCAAAAGTGACTTCACGAATGTCTCGCTTAACAACAGGAATCTTGGGCTCAATTGTGGTCATAAGTCGAGGACGACCTAACCCTCCTGGTACCAGGCTCTGCAACACCTGGAAACGTGTGAAAACCCAGCTGAATGCAAAAATATTATGCAATAGTCTACTCTGTCACCAAAGCATCATAATGGATACCTTGGATAAGGCCCTAACTCAACAAATGTGGCAAGAACTCCCTTAACAACTGTCACGCTTAGCGACAGGAATTTGGGGCTCAATTGTGGCCATAATTCTTGTACCTGCTCATGGTTCTTTTAGCCCTCTGCATATGCTCCAACCATGTCTGAAAATAACACCCATTTGCTGAATGAAAATCTTCAGCCCGGGCCCTACCAACGGAATAACTGAGTTGGAAGGGATCTCGGAGGTCTTCTAATCCAACTTCCTGCTCAGGCAGGAAGCCTTCTACCATTTCAGTGGTTTTCTTAAAAACCTCCAGTGTTGGAGCATTCACAAATTCTGCAGGCAAGCTCTTCCACTGATGAATTGTTCTGTCAGGAAGTTTCTCCTTAGTTGCTTCCTTCCTTCCTTCCTTCCATCCATCCACCCACCCATTATCCATCCATCCATCCTTTTATCCTTTCCTTCCATCCTTCTACCCACCCACCACCATCCACCCACCATCCATCCATCCATCCATCCATCCATCATTTCATCCTTCCTTCCATCCATCCATCCTTCCTTCCTTCCTTCCATCCACCCATTCATCCACCCATCCATCCTTCCTTCCATCCATCCATCCACCCACCATCCATCCATCCATCCATCCATCCATCATTTCATCCTTCCTTCCTTCTTTCCATCCACCATCCATCCACCCATCCTTCCTTCCTTCCATCCACCCATCCATCCATCCTTCCTTCCATCCATCCATCATCCAACCACCCACCATCCATCCTTCCTTCCTTCCTTCCATCCATCTACCATCCATCTGTCCTTCCATACAGCCACCCTTTCATCCTTCCTTCCATCCATCCATCCATCCATCCATCCATCCATCCATCCATCTACCCACCCACTATCCTGTTGTGACCCAGGCCCAAGTAGGTAGTATTAGACGCAAACAGTTCCAAAACAAACAGACTTTATTAGAACACATCCATCCTTCCATCCTTCCATCCATCCATCCTTCCATCCATCCATCCTTCCATCCAGCCATCCATCCATCCATCCATCCTTCCTTCCTTCCATCCATCCATCCATCCATCCATCCATCCATCAATCCTTCCTTCCATCCATCCATCCATCCATCCATCCATCCATCCATCCTTCCATCCATCCATCCATCCTTCCTTCCATCCATCCATCCATCCATCCATCCATCCATCCATCCAACCATCCAACCATCTAACCAACCAACCAACCGCAGTCTTTGAAGTAGAGAGCTAGATAGTATGTTATGCCATGTTCCACCCTCCCTCCTTCCTCCAAGCCAGATTTTAACAGGAGCCCACAGGGATGATGCTGGAGTCGGTCTTTTCAGCAGCAGCTGTCCATCTCCAGTCATAACTGTCCCGTGCACCAAAGGAAGCAGCCTCTGAAATGTCGCCAGGACAAAACCCGCCTCCCACTTTTCCCTTCTTCTGCCAATCACATCCAAAATTATTAAACCCAACACAGATAAGAGCAAACTTCCGCAGCTAAGCCGCACCTTGCTCATAATAAACAGGTGCCGAAATAAGTTCATGGCACGAGAAAGCAGAGCAGCTGCCAAAGAATGACCAAATATCTATAAACGTCACTTTCCATTTATGGAATCCCCCAATCTAGATCAGCTCTACTTATAAGGCCACTACATACCTGCTGATAGATAGTTGGCTTCCAGCCAAACTTACAGGGATCATTAATTGGATATTGTTATTATTTTTAAATATAGCTTGCTCCTCTCTTAAGGACAGAACCACTTCCTCATATTAGCAATAACTGGAAGAGGCCAATCAGTTCTATTAGACCAGAGGTCTTCAAACTTGGCAGCTTTGAGACTTGTGGACTTCAACTCCCAGAATTCTCCAGCTATGCTGGCTGGAGAATTCTGGGAGTTGAAGTCCACAAGTCTCAAAGCTGCCAAGTTTGAAGACCTCTGTATTAAACTTTTAACAATCGGGAACCAGACGATGAGTTGGTTGACATCAAGGACTAAAAACAACCAAGAATCCAACTCTTCTCCCACCGTCAGGGTGGATAAAAATCGATGATCTTGTTTTAAAATTTTTTTAAAAAATCAGGTTTTTTTATTTATTTAAATGGGATTTTTAAAAAATTTAAATCGGATTTTTAAACATTTTTTATCAAATTTATTTTAATAAAATGCTTTTGGAGTAAAAAAAATCTATCTAAAGATAGTTTTCTGTTTAAGATACATTAACAATTTAGTTTATTCGGCATGAAATGGAGCTTAGTTATGTAGCATATGAGGCTGTATATTCTGCAATATTGGGACTCTCGGTGAGTCAACAGTGGGTCAGAGGAGGAGCTGCTGAGGGATGGAGATGACAGTTGCTCTTTAAAAATGATGATTTAAATTGACTTGATTTAAATCAAGCCTTTTTACTTTAAATCACGATTTAAATCGTGATTTAAATCACGATTAAATCATGATTTAAATCGACTTGATTTAAATCAAATCCACCCTGCCCACTGTCACTAGACAGTTCTGCATTTAATATTCATCTTGTCTGCATCTGCCTCCTATGGGACAGGTAGATATGAAAAGCAACAACTATGATGCTGGGGACATGTAGGAGGTTTACCCAATGCATTAGAATTTGTGGCACCTATAGCATTTCTTTATGTATTCCAAGGTAAGGTCACACCTGGAATATTTGCATCCAGCTTTGGTCGCCACAATGTAAAAAAAAGATGTTGAGACTCTAGAAAGAGTGCAGAGAAGAGCAACAAAGAGGATTAGGGGACTGGAGGCTAAAAAATACGAAGAATGGTTGCAGGAACCGGGTATGTCTAGTTTGATGAAAAGAAGGACTAGGGGTGACAAGATAACAGTCTTCCAATATTTGAGGGGCTGCCCCAAAGAAGAGGGAGTCAAGCTATTCTCCAAAATACCTGAAGACAAGAAGCAATGGGTGGAAATTAAGCAAGGAGAGAAGCAACCTAGAAATAAGGAGAAACTTCCTAACAGTGAGAACAATTAATCAGTGGAACAACTTGCCACCAGAAGTTGTGAGTGCCCCATCACGGGAGGCTTTTAAGAACAGACCGGACAGCCATTTGTCTGAAATATATATACAACCTGTTTCCCCAAAAATAAGACATCCCCTGATAATAAACCCAACCAGGCTTTGGAGCGCATGCGCTAAAATAAGGCTCCCCCCAAAAATATTT